TTATTACTCCCTCCGTTTTAATTTATGTGAACCTATTTCCTTTTTAGTCCGTGCCAAAAAGAATGACATCTTTCCCTATTTGGAAACAATTTACCTTTATGTAATGATTTATAGCCACATAAAATATATGTGTTTCATTTTATACCACAAGTTCAAAAGTCTTCTCTCTTTTCTTAAACTTCGTGCCAAATCAAATGAGTTCACATAAATTGAAACGGAGGGAGTATTATTTATTGCTTGAAATTCTTCTATCATTAATGATCTTGAAACATTGAATGTACACAGCATTTAATCATCCACCAATACTGTCCGATTTTATTTGGGTTGACTAGTTATAAATAGGGATATTATCATTAACTAGGTTTAACAAATTATTTGTGATACAAAAATAAATTGCAACCACAATATAAATATGAAGAAACATAATTTTATTGATAAATGATACAGGTACAATTCTGTTTATCCCTTGATTCTTCTCTTCGATTTATCCGTAATTCGAGGGCTGGATCAGCGTATTCTCGAACGTAGGATGATACAAATCTCTCTAGATTATTTGATCTCCATGAAAGTTGATCATTGTATGAATATGCTTCTTGAAGTATTTGATTATCAAGAAAAATATCTATTGATCACGACATTATTTTATGTCTTGATCCCTTTGTAAATATCCCGAGAATTTATGGGATTTTTGAGACGACCTCAATTTGAGACCCCTTTTCAAAGGGTATTTGTTTATAGGAATAACCTAGGGTTAGGATAGAGTAGCCTCAAAATTAGGGTTTGTGTACAGTAGTCTCCAAGTAACCTTAATACACTCCTAGAATTGGAGGAGTCCTCTCGTAATATCTTGAATTTAGGATTTAGCTTGATCCGTTAAAATTCCGTTGTCTACACAGTTATCTACTCGAGTCATACCCATTCAGCACAGAACAACAATGAAATTGCAAAATTAAGAAGTATGAAGAGAACCAAAAAAAGTATTGAAAGAAAAAAAGACAAAGAAGAGGAGCGGAAGAAAAAAGATGAAGAAAAAAAGATCCGAGGAAAAATCAGAAAAGAGCAGCGAAGAAGAAGAACTCCAATCTAACCTGATTCGAAGAGAATCTTCAAAAAAAGTCTAAAAAAATAAAATTACTACCATTATCTATTTCTTTGTCTCTACTTGCTTTTAATCACACTCACAGATTTAACCCACAATAGCCATTGAATTGCGAAATTAGAAAGAGGAGAACCCGAAAGAAGCGCAGAAAGGAAAAACAGATGAAGGAAATGCGAAATTAATTGAAAGAGGAACATACCAGTAGGTAGAAGACCCAACAAGAACACAAACAAACATGAGAACAAGAGCACAGAGAAAGACTGTCGAAATTGTAGACGCTGAAGAAACATTCTTTGACAGTTCAGAGAAACAAAGGAAAATGCTAATGTTACACCTGTAGCAACATTCAATTTACACGTAGGTTGGCGTAAACAGTTATAAGACACGTAAAATAAAATACGTATAAATGATGCAGAAATGTCAAAATTACCCTAAGCTTTTGTTCAAATGACGAGAAGCAGCCAGATCGAAATCTTGGCTCTTCTATAATATAGTAAAGTAATATGTGTGTGTGATGTAATCAAATATATAAAATTAATTCTCAGATGCATATGCAGAAATATTTAATATATTCTATCTCATTTAAGCTTACCAATATCAATTAGTATAAATTTACTAACTAGTTCCTACTATTAATAAGAGGGAGTTTGAGGAGCTTCAGGTCAACACGTCTGCTTGAGCAATTTGCTTAAAATCTGGGCCCACGAGTATATTCTTGTAATTGTAACAAAACTGAGCAATTCTATTGGCTTAAAAACTAGATTACTGTAGCTCCTTCATAAAATTTTTGTTGTACGGACTAATTTACCCTTTTGCTGATATGCAATCATCAAGCCAGACCAACTTTCCAACCCAACCTGCTTACTTTCTTCTTACTGTCCTCATTAATCACGTCACACGTGTCCTCATTGATTTAGTGCACATTTAAGATCATAAAACAAAAACCTCATTTTGTACTCTTGGAAACCAAATTTAGAAAGCTAAAAGGCGAACACCAAAAAATAGTTACATAGTGACTATAAAGCTGTAAATTCAAGGTGGTTCATATGTGAGGGTGCTTGCTTTTTTTCTTCTTGAATCTAAATGAAGGAAGTTGTAGTCTATCGGTATTTACCAAGCCTCTAACCTGCCCAGGTAGGCTACCAAAGTGATATATATCCAAAGATCCGTCAGATTGTGGCTAAGGGATGCCAATTTGTCCGCAACACGATTTGCTTCTATATAGCAATGCCGAGTTTTAATATCATGAGTATTTACCAATAACTTTCTCTCTTCTACTGTATCATTGATTCTCCAAGGTGTATCATATTCTCCAATCACTGAGTTTTGAAGGTTGAGTGAGTCAGTTTCTCCTATGATTGAGTTAAAGCCATAGTTGATGCACCATATAAGGCCATAGAGCAATGCACTAGTTTCTGCAGTGTTACTGGTGCACTGTCCCAATGGCAATGAATATGCCATTATGAGACAACCATCACTCCCTCTCGCTATACCTCCTCGTCCGCAGTTGCCATCTAGACAGATCCATCATTGTTCAGCTTCACAATGAGAGGTGGTGGTTTGAGCCATTTTACCATAGTAAAGCAGTTCATCACCACCTGAACTTTATACATGTTACATAAATCTTCCCAATTGTTTCCAAAGTTGATCTTCTTGAAATGAGATTTGATAAGCTGAGTGATGTTGAAAGTAATCATCTCTTTGGATCTGTGAAATGATGGTTTTTCCATATCAAATATAGAGTTGCACCTAGACCTCCATAGCTCCCAAATGATGATAGGAGGCATGATTTTGTGCATGTAGCTAGCCATGGGATTTTCCCCCTTCCGTTTCCAACAATTGAGTATGAGAGTCCTCAGATTGTTGTTTCTATACTCAATGTCCAATCTGCCAATAAAAAAATTCCACACTTGTTGTGCATATTCACTACTATAGAATAAATGATCTGTAATTTTAGGTACTCGGATGTCACTGAAACAAGTACAACAACTGCACCTAGAGTCGATGACAATCCCAAGGTTAGAAATTCCCTCATCAGTGGAAACCTTGTTGTGAACAGCCCTCCATGACATAAAGGACATTTGAAAGGAACACATATCTGCCAAATATTAGCGTCATAGCTAGAAACTCTCTTTATTTGCCTTAACAGATTTCATACACTTGATATAGTAAATTTGTCATTATTATTGCTAGTCCAGATTGTTGAATCCTCCTTTTGTTGGTTGATGAGAACCTGCAAGGAAGACAAAGAAGATAGGTAAGTTTTTATGTGGTCAGGGGTTGGTACCGAAGAACTGACCAATACCATTGGCCATCCTTAAGTACTTCATTGATCTTTATATTACTCAATATGGGATTTTCAGATTGAGTTTCAAAAAGAGGACCCTTGTCCATCCAATTGTCAAACCAGAAGCTGATATTGCCTTTTTTCAGTTTTCCAAAGTATGTTTTGCTCCACTTTAATTTTGATTGAATACATAACTTTCCAACTATAGGAATTTCTTTTCATCCAGTTTGTACAAACTGGATTGCTAGCATTACAGTACTTTGCTTTCATAAATTGAGCCCAAAGGGATTGGGTGGTTCTGAATTTCCACCACTGCTTGGAATTGAAGGCATTGTAAATGTCTTCTAATTTCATGAATCATGTTCCTCCTTCCTCAAAAGTAAAATACAAAGTCTTCCATGCCACTCAATGGTGTTTCTCCCTATTTGCATGCCCTGACCAAAAATATCTGGCCAAATATGTCTCTATCAGTTCAAAGGATCCTTTGGGAGGATGCACCGAAGCAAGAGTATAAATATTGAGACCCAGGAGAACATGCTTGATGAGAACTACCCTTCCACATATTGATAAGAATTTCAAATGACATCCTTTGATTTTGTTAATGGCCTTGCTCACCATATCTGAGAATGTGACAAGAGTTTTCCTCCCAGTATATATATAGGACACCCTAGGTACTTCATAGGAAAATTACCATGTCTCTTACCAAGAATTCTGCCAACCCTAGTAATAATGCTTATAGCAGTCTTAGGTGCCATTGTATAACAACTTTTGTATTTGTTGATCATTTGACCACTAATCTTCTCATATGATTCTAAAGTCGCTAGCACCAGTTTCAGAGTTTACTTAATACCACTACAGAAAATAATTGTGTCATCAGCAAATGAAAGATGAGAAATATGTGGTCCATTATGAACCATATAATACCCTTTGAATATGTTGTTGTTATGGAGTCCATTGAGCATTAGGGAAAGCAGCTCCGCACAGTGAATAAAAAGTGAGGGTGAAAGAGGATCTCCTTGTCTGAGTCCTCTTTTAGACTTGAAGAATCCATGCCTGCTACCATTGACAATAAGAGAGTACTAGTAGTTGGATATGAATCTGTAGATCATGTCTATCCATACTTCAGCAAAACCAAGTTGTCTGAGCATGAAACATAAGAAAGGCCAGGACACTTTGTCATAAGCATTAGCCATGTCAAGCTTAATGACAAGATTTAGACCTTTTTTAGGCTTGCAAATGTTATTAACAATCTCTTGGGTCAGTAAGATATTCTCATTTATCGACCTTTCCTTGATAAAACTACTTTGATTAAGAGAAATAATCTTGGGCAAAATGAGGCCGAGTCTAGTATTTATGATCTTTGCAATTATCTTACTAGATACATTACAGAGACTGATTGGTCTGATATCTGAGAAACTTTGTGGAGAGTCTACTTTAGGAAGCATTATCAGGCAAGCGTGGGAGAAAAACCTAGGTAGAGTGGCACCATTAAAGAATGCACCCACTGCCTTATGTATATCATAAGAAATTACTTCCCATGCACTTTGATAGAATTTATCACTCAAGCCATTAGGGCCCGGTGCACTGTCAGGATCAATCGAGAATACACAATCTTTAACCTCCTAGAGGGAAGGCATAGCTGTCAAGAGCTTCAGTAACCACCTTCTTCACTACATTTAGAATTTGAGAGTCTTCTACAACAATATCAGCTTGAAACATCTTTTGAAAGAACTGGACAGCTGCACTTGCTACATCATTGGAGCCCTCTATCCATTCTCCTTCCTCATTTTTTATTTTGAGGATAAAAAGCTTTCTTCTTCTATCCTTAAAGACTCCATGGAAGTAAGCTGTGTTGGCATCCCCTTCATCTAACCATTTGACCCTAGATTTTTGCCTTAGAACTTTCTCCTGAAGAATCAAGAAACTGGTGAATTCAGCTTTAGTTCTAGCCAACTTGGTCCTGATATCTTGAGTATTATTGGTAATAGATACCTCTTCAAGTTCCTTAATGAGCTTTTCCAGCTTCTTTGGTTCTTCATAAATATCACCAAAAGTAGTCTTTAACCATCTGCTCAGAGCACTGCATACTATTTTAGTCTTTTGGTGGAGGATATAAAGAGGATTCCCATGAACCTCTTCAACCCATGATTGTTGGATAACATTCAAGTATTCATCATGGTCCACCCATTTATTCAAAATTTTGAAATATTTAGTATGAGTAGGATCATACTTCCCACATTCTATCAGCAACGGGGCATGATCAGAGCATATCCTAGAGATATGTGTAACTTTAGTCTCCCAAAAAGATCAAATCATTCAACATTGTATGTTAATTTGTCTAATCTCTTCCAAATTGTGTTGGGAGGGTCTCTATTATCACTCCAAGTGAAAACAGTTCCATGAAATCCACCATCTTGTAAATTGCAATCATTCAGACAGGAGAGGAAATTAATTCCTTCTTGAATTCTATAGGGTAAGCCACCGAGCTTCTCCTCCGAGCTAATAGCTACATTAAAATCACCAACCACTCTCTGAGGGTCGTTAATGTTATTGGACGTGCTTCTGAGTTCATCCCTTAGAACATTTTTTTGATTTTCATCGCACTTGGAATACACAATGGTAATGTGAAATGAAATATTCCCACGAATTTGAGAAATTTGGAGTAAAACTTGTTGTTCTTTATCATCCAGGACATTGATTTTGTAATCAGCAGACCAAAAAATCCATATCTTTTTGGAATAATTGTGAAAATATTCTGGGTATCCAAGCATCCTTTTATACTTTTCAATCTTCCTTGCTCTCACCATGGGTTCCTGCAAGAAAATAAAAGGAAGGTTGGACTAGTTTTTAATGATTTTGAGCCTTTCCGCAGCACCTTGGGACCATATGTCCCTAATGTTCCATGATACATAACTAATCATTTGAAACATTTGAGTTTTGTTCCCCCTTAGCCTTTAAAATTTCTTCTGAATTCCTACTGTTAGGAGCCCAATTGATCTCACCTAGTTGATCACCAAGTCCTCTTGGAGAAAGATTGTTGAATTGAATAATATTTTGGTGGACTTGGGAGGTAATCACAGGATTGCATTCGACACTTTGATACCTCCCTGCCATATGATCATCATCAGATAAAGAGTTTTTCTTATCTTCATATTGTATTTCCATAATCATATCATGGTCTTGGGGATCACTGATAGCATTTGCTTTCCCACTCAAGGACATCTGGCTATTTTCTCCTGGATCAATGATTCTTGGTGGCTCATCTAGCAGTTGATATTCAAGCCCCATTTTTCTATCCTTCCAGCTAGCATATTTCTCAACAAGTTTGGGGTCAAGGCCAAAGAGTGATCTATACACCAAGCTATGATTTTCCTGATCCATGTCACTTGTCAGAACAACATCACCTGGTATGGTCACTTTTTCTTTAAACTTTCTCCTTTTCTTGTTCATATTCTTTGTTTCCTCTAGTCATATTCACTAGTGAAGTATTCATGATATCCTTTTCATTATCGACAAAATCACAATCTCTGGGTACTCAGCATCCTTTCCTTGATACGTCTTTTTACCAGACTTGTTGATAGTAAGTAATTTTGACTTTTTCTTATTGTCTTTGTTACTGTTGTATTTGTCCCTTATTGTGTGTTTGGCCTGAGCTTGAGGGATCAAAGAAGTAGCAGCTAGGATCACTTCCATATTCACTTCACCTTCACTGTTGTTGTGGGTGACAATCACAGTACTTTGTCCCTCATTGATCATGTTGGCGGTGTTAGTATCATTCCCTTTTTGAGTTATCATAGCAACATGATTGTTGTTATCATTGTTTCTATTATTTTTTTATTCACAGTATGTCAACCATCTTCAGCTCCTTTGTCAATATTGGTAGCACTGTTGTTGTTAGCTGGTCTCTTACCCGTGGGTTTTACAGCAGCGTTAGAATTGCCATTGGTCTGTCCAGCATTCTGAGGCCTGCCCTGTTCTCTTCTTTGCTCATTTCTCCTAACTGCTCTCACATTTTTTATTTTGATTAGTATCATTCCTTTTGGTTTGCTCATTAACCTCGCTGTCATTCTGAACTCTCAATTCTCGATGTAAAATTCTACACATTCTGTTTGAATGTCCTTGCCTCATACAATGATTGCAAAATGCATGTAGTGATTCATATTCAACTTTCTGAATAAACTCTTCTATATTGCCTTCATGGTTCCTGATCTCGACAATGACCTCATTTAAAATTGGCTTTGCAAGGTCAATTCCAATTCTAAGCTTTGCAGTAGTGGGTCTTGTTTTGGTGGTCGTTGCCTTGTCCAAAATCAAAGGAAAATCTATAGGATCAACTATACGACATATTGCGTCCCACTCATCGAAATTCCATGGGAGATCAGGAAGTGTGATCCATACCGGAATTCTGGTGGTATTAGGTTCCGATTTAAATTTTGTGGTCCACTTCTCAAGACTCATCACAAAATCTCCACCCAAAATTCACAAAACTTCTAGTAGCTACTGCATTGTGATCATCTAAGTTATCAAAATCAATAAATACATGTTTCATGTCATAAGCTCCAACGGTTATGCATCCTTTCCCAGGAAACACTTTCGCGAATTCCTTCTTAATAATGTCAATCGAGGGACGGATCTTAAAAAACTTACCGACTATAGTCCATTTGCATGACTGAGCCAAAATATCATTTTCCTCCTTAGTGAAACTTACCATTGGTTTACCGTTAATCAGCTCGTAAGATTTGAGAGGGAGTCGGATTCTGCTCCTTGGTTGTGGGGTTTTGATTCCTATGGCACCTACGTAAGAATTGTCGCCATTGCTTTTACTTTGATAGCTAGCAGCTTTATTAGCAGTAGTATGGGTCCAGGTTTTGGGAAAATTTTGATTAGGAAAAGAAATTTCACTAATGTTTGTGGGTTGGGGTGTAAAAGATTTTTGATTTGGGATAAGAGATGTTGTCGGAATTTGGGTGGGGATTAAAGGCGGTGGATCGGGG